GTTCAGCAGAGGCCTCGGTCCCTGGGGCTGCATCTGCCACTGAACGGGCGTCATTCCAGCCCGCTGTGCAAATTCCCCCTCTGACACAAGGCTGGAGTTGAAGTCGAGCCCAGGCAATGCCCCCTTTCGCTTCCTCTTTCAGTTCTGCCTGTGGACGGACGGATTGAATGTGCTTCTGGGCCGGGAAATGGTGAGCGAGCGCACCCAGACCGACCTGGATATCTTGCTGTCGATGGAGCTGAAGCTGCGGTTGCTGGACCTGGAGAACATTCCCATCCCAGACGCCCCACCAGTCATCCCAAAGCCCCCCAGTAACTTAAACTTCTGCTACGATTTCACCCATATAGAACAGTGAAGGCTGCTGTCTGCAGCTGCTGATGTCCCACACCACGGGTTGGAAGGCTGGAAGGGTCCCATGGGCCTGTGCGCGCCCTCCTCCCCACCACCACCTTTCTCACATGTAGAGCACTTCCTCCATTTCTGTTAGCAGTTTCCTGTGATATCCAGGTTGGGCAAACAAAGACTTTGCACTTAACCTCCAAACCGTGGTTCACAAACCCACTTCAAACCGTGGTTTCAGATCACAGTCAGAGGTCAGCCCTAATCATACTTTGGCCAATCCAGACATCAAAGCGAGTCAATGCAGTCCAGGGAAGGTAGGGAAGGAGTATATGAGCTCTACATGTGTTCCTGATCACCTGAAGCCCTGCTCACAAGTGACAATGAGCACATGAACAATTTGTGCACAGTGTACACTTGATTTTTCTTTATACATGCATTGAGTAAGGAGAAGGAAGTGTTACATTCAGTGCATGTACAGCTGAGTGATTTAATCTATATAATCTAAATAGATTATCTAGGTACTAGCATTTATCTAGGTGTTAACCTCCAGGTAAATTTGCGAACAGCACATTGGCTGTTTCTTACGAATGTATATACGCGCATAGATGCAGGATGTACACGTGTTCACTGTAATGTGTGAACAGGGCTTTAATGGAGCCTGTATGTGTGCGTGTGTTCATGCTACTATGATCAGCTAGAAAATCCAGTTTCCATTAATAGAAATTATTTAATCTTTCTCAGTCGCCCACATTTCTAAGGGCCGACACATTATGATTTTTCTGGGTTGATTTTAAACATTTTTTTTTTCTTTTGCAGATATTATTGCTAGGTTTGCTTGACTGAGGAGAACAGCATGGGAACAGAAAGAGGGAAGCTTTAGCCCTTTTCTCCCCTACTGTTTTCTGACTGGAAAAAGCCACCCTTGAGCTGTGTTTTACCTTCCTTTGGTACTTTTGCCCACAGTGGGAATAAAGCCACCTCAGGGGTGATTTTTTAAAAAAAATTGCTTTAAAGTAACCACAAGAAAGAAATCATAAAGTGGACTTCAGCCCTCACTTTGGGTAACTCAAGTACAGTCCGATTTGTTCAGCAGTGACCTTTCCCATGTTATGTGACTGACCTATATTGTGTGTAGATTAAGGAGGCTGAGGAGACTTGGTAGGACTCTGTGGTTGTGGGACTGAGATGTTGACAGCTGTCAGAAAAACAGTGTTCCCAGTTTTCTTTACTGGTTTGAACTAGCGACTACACACAAGCTCCCCCTGCCTGTAGTGATTGATAACAGAATATAAGAACGGAGGAGGAGTCCTTCTGCATCAGAGAAATGCTTAGTCTAGTCCAGCATCCAGTTCCCCACAGCGGCCAGTTGGACTCCTCTGTTCCTTCACAAGCGAGGCACAAATCTTCCCAGCCGTCCCCTCAGTTTTGTGAGGAATTCTGGGACTACTATCAGCGGTACAACCCACAAGAGCCCTGAGCGAGGCATCTGTTTTTCCTTTGCTTTTTTCCAAGCGAGCCAGGGTTGGAATGAATGGGATCTCCCACCGTGGCCACTTCATTCTCTGCACCCAGATGACCCCAAAGTTTTCATGTTTTGCTTCGCTTAGAGGCTGATGGTACTTGATCTGCCTTTGGTACGCTCTTCTGAGGAAGAAATTAGCACTTTACAAAACTGGCTTCCCCCTTCTCGATGGGAACAGCGGGCACAGGTATGTTGCTGGCCTGCCCAAGCAACACGAGAGAGTTGGCATGCTGGGGGTGGGTAGGCCGATTTAGGGCTTTGGGGGGGGGAGTGCGTGGTACAGGGAAGATCCCCTTCCGCTCTAGAACACTTTCGATACACTTTTGAACACCTTCTGTATCAATGTCTTGTTGCCTGTTCAGAAACACGCTCTGAAACGACACCCCGATTTTCTCTGCTCACAGTATGTGACTCGGTACATCTAGGTAGGGCTGTGTGTAGCTGGAGCTTTAAGAAAAAGAAAACCAAAAAATTACCAATTCTGCACGGGCAGAAACTGAATTATAGGACCGGTGCAAATCTGTGCACGTTTTGGATAATTTTCTTGTTTAGCATGATTCTGTGTAGTTTCTATCATTTTGCCTAACTTGTCCCGTTTCTGCTGGTTTTAGGGAAAGCTAGGGAGCTGTAGCCCCGCCCTCTGGTTAACAGAAGGCTTCATTCAGCCATTGTTCTGACTTCTGAGATTGTCACCGGTGTATGGGCATGCGTGGTTTTTCAAATGTGGGCTAGGAACCTGCTTTTTTGTTATTTAGAAAAAAAAGCAAAAGATGAGATTCTCAGGAAGCTGATTTCTGCACCTGCTGCTGTCTTTTCCTTCGGCACAAAACTGTGGTTATGCACACCTGTTATTGTAGCCTTTTTTTTTTTAAGCTAATTTTGAGTATCCTGAAAAGATCCGGGGAGGGGAGAATTGCAAATTGAGGCTGACAACTGTGAGCATTCCAGTTCCCCTTCCAGTTCCAGAGCACTTCGTACCAGTCACACACTTTTGGGGGTGCTTCAGGGTCAGTAGTGTGGGCTCTGCCTCGCAGCACCTGCCCAGAATCTTGGACAGAGATTAGACTTTCTGGTGATCCTTTTTAGCTGGAGATGCCAAGCTTGAACTTGGGACTGCCTGTCTACAAAGCAGGTATTCTGCTGCTGCCCCTTGTGTCCCTCCCCGGGCAGAGATTTTGTACCTGGCCAGAAAGGAGTTCAGCTGAATCTCACTTTGGAAAGCACTTCTTTCTGCCCGTTGTTTTGAAGAGGAACATGCAACTGTTTTTACGTGAACTCTGTAAACGTAGCACCCCCTGACACAAGGTGCCCTCTATAGAAACACGGTGAGTCCGCTGCACTGGAACTTCCATTTCTTCACTTCTTTTTGTGTTAGTGACTCTTGCGGCACTGGAACCGCGCGTCGACTAATAGTACCATTCCCCCACCCTCCAAAACAAGGCCCAGAAAGGGACTTCCGGAACTCCGTTTTCTTCCTGCTCGGGTGCGTCTACTGTAACGTGTTCACAACGGCACTGCCCCTGGGACCGTAATGATTAAAAGGGAAATGATCTCGATGGAGTTTTTGGTACTGCTGCGTGGATGTGTGCATTTTTTGAGCTCTGCGACCTGTTGTGGCAAGTGGATTTTTCTGTCCACCCCAGTTCAATGATGCTGTCCTCCTTGTATCATGGGAGATATCTGGGGATCAAAAATGCCACTTCAGTGGTTAATTCCAGAGGGGCAGCTGTGCTTAGACTCTTGCGGTAAAATAACACAGGAATCTGATGGTACCTTAAAGACTGAGGACGTTTATTCTGTCATCGGCTTTCGTGAGTCAGAGCTCACTTCGCTTGGCCTCGCTACTCATTTGAGAAGGTGAGATCTGACTAAAAAAAAGCCAATGCTGGAATAAACTTCAAGGTTCCCCTGCCCTGGATGGCTCAAGATAGCCTGATCTGGGCAGATCTCTGAAGCTAAGCAGGGTTGACCTCGGTTAGTCCTTGACTCCTTGGAGGGGAGACCACCAAGGAAGTCCAGGGTTCCTCTGCAGAGGCAGGCAGTGACAAAACCGCCTCTGTCTCTTGCTTTGAAAACCCTACGGGGGTCGCCATGAATTGGCTGCGCCTCTAAGGCACCCCTTATTTTTTGAGGAGTTCTATATACCTGTGGAGAAGGTTCATCTTTTAAAGAGTGGAACAGCAGGCCCCCCTCCCCCTCTGCTGTCAGATCATTTTTGAGATGTTCCTGAATATCAAAAGTGGCTTTATTGGGAGACTTGCAAGGTGGGGAGGGCTGCTGTTTGAGAAGTCCCCCGCAGAGAGAGAGAGAGAGAGGGAACGTCTTGGTTTGCTAGGCAGGGTGATGGTTCAGGGGCTGGTCTGCGTCTTAAGAGCCAACTGGAAGCAAAAGGTGTGCCAGAGTCCTTTATTAGAGCAACGGCCTCTCCCCCTCCCCTCCAGCGCAGAGGCATGGCACATCCTTTTGGGAAAAGAAGAGTGGAGGCTGGCTGGGACTTTGCTTTCTTTCCTGTGCCTTATTTTGCAAGACGGAACCAGCCAAAGGTTGGCAGTGGAAGGATGGCAAAGCAGCCACTGCCATGGTTATTTTTCAAAGAGGTAGCAGGGGTGGGGGGTGGGGAGAGAAAAGAGGCAGTAACGATGTCACGGGAGTTCAAAGGACCCAGGGCGGCTGCGGCGGCTGCTGTTGCATTCATAGCCGCTCTCTCTGCTTCCGCTAGTGCAGGACCGATCCTGCTACAGATACTGACCACTCACTGTGTGCCTCTGCAGGATTGGTAGCCCTGCTCATTAGGGAGAGGCGGTGGTGGTGGGGAGGTGGGCATACCCTGCCTGGCATAGGCAGTGGCACAGCTGAGCTTAATGGCAGCGATTTGGCCCGCTTTGGCTACCCTGTCCTATTGGCGGGTGAGATTGCAGAGCGTTGGGATGACCAGGCAGGGGCTGTTCCCCCGGGTAGCCCACCCCAGCTGAGGATGGAGCCAGTCTGACCACCTGCGGCCGACGGAGTCTCTTTCAGAGAGTGATGGAGAGGTCTGCTCCGCCTACAAACCGGGAGTGGACGCTCGTCTGCAGCGGGAGGCGCGACTGGAAGAGTTCGACGTCGGTCATGCTGATGCCGCCGCACATGGAGACGTCCAGGCACTTCAGCTGCCGGCACTCCCGACCGATGGCCCTCAGGGTCCTGGCAAAGGAAAACCCCCGTCACGAACGGACCTTCCCCTCCCTAGGGGGAAACCCAGACGGTCTCTGTCACCAGGCTCTTTTCTCCCACCTGCTGGCTGCACTCCTGGCCTTGGGCTGGGCGATACTTACTGCGGGGTGAGCTGGTTGCAGCCAGCGAGGACGAGGTGTTGGAGCCTGGGCAGGGTGCCGGCTGCCTCCGCAAACCCTTTGTCGGTCAGGTTCACGCAGTGGCTCAGCGAGAGGTGCTCCAGGGCGCGGCAGTGACGGGCGATGGCTGTGAGGCTCGTGTCCGTGATGTTGGGCACCAGGCTAAGGGACAGGCGGCGGAGCTCGGGGAAGTGGACGACCTGGAGAGGAATGACACAACAAGCGGCTGCAGGAGAAAAGAAGGCTTGGGGGGCCCGGGGCCAGCTGGGCTTGAGGACGGCTAAAGGCACAGGTGCCCCTGAGAACTTCTATCAGCCCCACTTCTAGCTGATTCGCAACTGAATGACGCGCTCAGAACTTTCACATGGGAGCCCGCAGGGAGAAGGGGTGTGTGTAGATTCTGCTGTATTATAACAAGCTGGTGTGTTTTTGCCGAGGCATCTGCAGGTGTCAAACTATTTATATGGAGAGCAACGGCGTAGGACGGGCCTTCCAGAGTGGACTGCTAGAAACCGCAGGCTGGGTGCTGCCTTGAAGAGGCCCTGTGAATTATAAAACCAAAAACCTAGCCAGAACCGGCCATGCTAGCTGTCAAAGGGGTCGGGATGCGCTTCTGCACACAGTCTGCCATCCAAAGTGGTCTACCTGAGAAACAATGCTCCCTCTAAGCTGTGGAGTCTCGTGAGCAAAAATTCTACTTTGTGAGCTTACTGGCATCTAAGCTGTGAGCGAGCATTTTGGCTGCTGCATAAATTAAGTTTGCCCTGGAGCCGTCCTTCCTGAGCTAAGACAAGAATGTGTGAGCCGGAGGCTAAAAAACCGTGAGCTAGCTCACACAAACTCAGCTTAGAGGGAACACTGCTGAGAAGGTCTGTACCGTGCTGTCGTTTCAGATCTCTAATGCAGTGCTTACAGGGCCAAAGGTCCCCGTCATCTTAACGTTACTGTGACCCATGCTGAACTTCCCATAACCGTGAGGACTAGAAGCCTGGAGTTTCAAGCTCTCTCCACCTTGCAGCCGCCGGCTACAGACCTAGCTGTGAGTTTCCCTCCATCCCTTTTTGTATCTTCTGCCTGCCTCCTCAGGTCTCCTCCACCTGTGCTTCTTGTGCCGGCGATGAACTTTCCCCCTGTGTGTCGACCTACTTCCCCTTCCTCCATGACCCACTTAACCAAAACCCCTTTTCTCAGCCATGCTAACCTCTCCTTGCTCTTCCACTGCTGTGCCCCAGATAAGTGAAACTCTGACATTTTCCCCCTCCCCACCCACATCCTCCCTAATGCAAATCTTGGCAGGGCCTCCCCCTCTGCTGCATCCTCCCCGGCTGGTGCTTTATCAGGCGCCTGGTAGACGGCCGCGGTCCTGCGTCTGCCCTCCCCTGCAGCTGGACCAGAGGCGACTGCAGCCCACGAGGCCCAGGCCCAAACCTTAGCGATGCTCGTGTCCGTCAGCTTCCCGCAGGCCGTCAGATCAAGCTCTTGCAGGCGGGCCAGGGCGTTCAAGGAGGCCCGGTACTTCTGCGGGGTGTCCTGCTTCGTGAGGTCGATGAGGATCGGGGCATCCCGCTCCAGATCCTGTGGAGGCGGCAGGAAGAATCCCAGG